TTTGTTTCAGTTATTGTATTTTTCACTTCTAAGATTTCCATTTGGTTCTTTAAAAGAAGAAATAAAGTTTATTTCTTTGCTGAGACTTTCTATTTTTTTATTTGTTTCAGCACATTCCTATGTGCCCATTGTAACACTTTTATGATGGCTGCTTTTTAAAAGATTCTTGCCACATAATTCTGCCATCTCTGTCATATCAGTGTTGTCACCTATTTTCTTTTTTCATTGAGTTTGGGATTTGTCCTGCTTCTTGGTATTTTTATTACAGAAGCCTGAAAATTTGGGATATCGTGTTATAAGACTCCAAATCTCATATAAACCTCTTATTTCAGTAAGCTTTCTGTGACATAGCTCCAGAGGAAGAAGAGAAAGCACCACCTTATCACTGCCAGGTGGAAACAGAAATCCAAGAGAGATTCTTTGTTACCATTTGACATGTATGAAAATCTGGGCACTCCCGATGGAGAAAAGGACTGCCTCATTATAGCCACCATGTAACCTACAATAGCACCATGGAAGGGGGATGTGGACATCTGTTATTACTAGTGATGGTGAAAGCCCTAACTCTATTGGCCTTTTTGAACATAATGCAAGTCAGGAGGGGGAAGAATGCTTCATTACTGCCATCTGTGGGTAGAAATCCAGAGTGGGTACACTTTGCTTTTTGATAGTGTGGGTAGGGATAGGACCACAGATCTTTTTCCTTGGTATTTAACATGCACAGAGTAGTTATTGTCAATGTTTTCTGTCTTGCTTGCTGCCATTTTTGTGGTCCTTTGGTTTAAGAGAGAAGGCTTTTGTTGGGACTTCTTCTGTGCCCCCTGTCATTTCTGGGTTGCTGACTTCTTCACCTCTAAATCTGACAAAAAGGCAAAAAAACAACCCAGAAAACTCACTGCCATATTGTTCCTTAAGTCCTGAGGTTACGAGCCTGTCTTCTTATATCAGTTTCACATATAATGTCCAATATTTCTAGCTGTGCTTACAAAAGAAATAGGAAAAAGTAGATTTAGTCTATCCTTCAAACACAAGTCTGAAATATCCACTGTTAAGAGTGTGACAACAGGCAGAAGTTCTCACCAAGAAAATTAGAAAAAGGCAGTGACAGTTGTAAGAGGAGAACCAAGTAAATCTGACAAAACAAATCCAAAGGAAAGAGAAAGTTTCAAAAGAGAGAAGAGTTCAAGAGTCAAGTGCTGAAATAAGGTCAAATAAAATAAGGGCTAAAAAGAACTATAAATAAATGAATTCAAGAGCAGTTTATAAATAATTCTGTGGAAGTGAAATCCTGATTGCAAAACAATTAAAGGAGAAAGGGGGTAGTAAGAACAAAGAAAAAAACATAATTTGGGATTAAAGAGTTGATGGAAGAAATTTGAAGAACAACTGACATGAGAACAATAAAAAAATACTGTGTGCAGTAACCACTATTACAAAAATAAGCAGAGAATATCAGAGGAGCAATGAAGATGGCTACCTAAGTTAGCTAGGTCCCAAGAACAAAACCCAACTTAAAAACTATGCCTACAATCTTGAAGTGGAATGATGTTCACATATCTTAAGTTTTAAAAGCAGAAATGGTATGTAGGGCATTTTCTATTATACAGAAATGTTTTTGTTCACATACAAGAAATGTATGTACATATGTGTAGCTACACAAACACATTCTTAATTACCCTCCACCTAGTCAGCTAATTCAAGGCCTGCATTCTACTCTCTTATACATCCCCACACACTGCTCCCACCAGAACCAGTTGGGTTTCTCTCCAAATCCATTCTTGACAGTTGTACTTACTACTGTATATAATTAATATGATACAAACAGGTTACACGTAATTGGGAAAGAGGTACTTCTTCTATGAAAACTAAGCCTAACGCTTTGGAAAGCTAAAAATACGTTACTTTTTAAAAATTGCTGTAAAAGTAAATATGGGCACATTGGGAAATCACAGTACCAAAAAGACTTTTTTTTTTTGAGACGAGTCTCATATTGTCACCCAGGCTGTAGTGCAGTGGCATGATCTCAGCTCACTGCAATCTCTGCCTCCTGGGTTCAAGCAATTCTCCTGGCTTAGCCTCCTGAGTAGCTGGGACTATAGGGGTGCGCCACCATGCCCAGCTAATTTTTATCTTTTTGTATTTGTAGTAGAGACGGGGTTTCACCATGTTGGCCAGGATGGTTTCAATCTCCTGACCTCATGATCCGCCCACCTTGGCCTCTCAAAGTGCTGGGATTACAGGTATGAGCCACAGCGCCCAACCAAGATATTTTTTTTTAACAGATGAGTAGTTCTGTACTCATTGCTTTGCCAGAGCCCTTACGATCCTGTTTTACTTTAAAACACCAATACCAGGAAGACAATGCATTATGGGTATGTTTTATGCAATCAGCCTTTGCCTACTCCAAGAAAAGGTCTGCTCCACATGAAATATCTAGAGAATGAATGATTATGCTTTTAATTGAATTTAAAAAATGTTTGGGGTATATTTGAATCATTTATTTGATGATTACATGCTAACAAATGTTTTTAACCAACCAACCAACCAATGGTATTAGACAGGAAGACTTTCTCTGTAGACAGAGTCAGTCTCTCTCCCTCTGTCTCTCTCTCTTCCTCCACGTTAGTGTCTATTTAAGTGGATAATATTACATATTTTTCTTGATTTTCCTTTTGCATATTTACTTGTCATATAATAAACTTACATTTTGTATAATAAGAAAAATATTTTTAATTACCCAAAATAATAATCTTACATGAATGCCTAGGGAAACAGAAATCTAGGTGGTTTAAAATCAATATACAAAGCTTCTTCAAATGAGAAAAAAATACATTACTGCTCACATGTGACAAACTAACAAATTTCATACCTTAAACTTGGAAGGTCAGCTTTAATACCATATAATATCTAGATCCAATTTACATTCCTCTGTCAGAGTAATATATCACCAATGCTGAATATAATTATAGCTTATTTTAAGCTTTCATTTTCACCTACCTTTACCAAGGTGACTAAATACTTAAAATGAACAGTTCTAGGAGGGAGTACAAAGCAATTAGCATGCCCCGTGGGGCAAGACAAACATACACCGACATGCCATTCAATGGCCCATCCACCAAAATTACACTAAATTATAGAGCCAGGCTGGGAATTCAGGAACTATTATAAATAATGTTCAGACTGTAAAATCTACTAACCTTCAAAATACAACCACTAATATGTAGATTTTCTTGAAATATATTTCTTAAGAAAACTGTATATTTAAAAACAATCATTTATTCCCACTTTTTTATTAGATAACACAGTATTCCGCTAGTCTTTTTTTTTTTTTTTTTTTGAAACAGAATCTTGCTGTATTGTCCAGGCTGGAGTGCAGTGGTGTGATCTCATCTCACTGCAACCTCTGCCCCCCAGGTTCAAGCAATTCCTCTGACTCAGCCTCAAGAGCAGCTGAGACAACAGGCGTGTACCACCACGCCCGGCTAATTTTTGTATTTTAGTAGAGACAGGGTTTCACCATGTTGGCCAGGATGGTCTCGATCTCCTGACCTCGTGATCCACCCAACTCGCCCTCCCAAAGTGCTAGGATTACAGGTATGAGCCACTGTGCCTGGCCAGTATTCTGCTAGTCTTTTTCTGGCTATGACATACTGAAAGGCATAAAATATCCAAATAAAATGAAAATAAAACCAGGTTAACAGGAATCATGAAAAACAAAGCACAAGAAACAAGATTTCTTGACCTTTAGATGAAAAAATAGTAAAAGAACTATGGATTTAAAAACATATACACTAGTATGTGCTCTAATCAAAACTTAAGTCCACTATTAAAAGAAATATATTATAGAAGAGGAAATATCTTGCTTGGAATGTATTAAATATTAGTAAGTATGTTTCTTAGTCTCAGGTAAACATTATTAGTTCAGGAAAACACTAAATTATTCATTTTAAAATATAGACTAATTTGCCAACAATATATGGATAAAAGAAGTTATGATCATATTTCAGGCCTTTCATCACTTGTTTCCACCCTAAATATTTGTCATTACTTCTAGTCAGAGCAGTCCTAATTATTAAATCCATGATCTTCCCTTGATTCGATAAATTTCATTGCTACCTTTGTGTGGCAATGTACTCATAATGCTCCCCTCCACAGAACTGCCTTTGAAACAACTGAAACAATTTCATCTTTCAAGGCCAATTCACATTTCCTTCTTTTTTGAACTCTCACTGATTTGATTTCTCCATGCGCTCACCAAGATCCATTCACTTGACCTCAGATACCCCTCCAGGTAGTTCCCATTGCTCTTTCATCACATGCATCCTCGGCACCTCTTGCCATCCATTCACACAATCTCACTTCAGTCTGGCTTCTACCACCAAGACTGCAAAAAAAAAAATCTATTTTCTCAAAGGACGCCAACAACCTTCCTCTTGCCAATTCCAACAATATCGTCTTGCCCCACCTCACAGCAGTGCGCTTTGCAGTTTGTCTCTCTCTTATTTTGAAAGACTCTTCCTGTAGGTCCAGAACCAGCATTTAGGGTTCTCCTCCCCACTGGCTACTCCTCAGTCTGTGTTTCTGGCTCCTATTCCCTTTCTGTATCATCTATTTCTGGACCCTTTCTGAACCCAGAATCCTTCAGAACTTGTTCTCACTACTCATCCATATCTTTAGCTTCCTTCTCCATACAGCCTGCTCACTATGGGATTCCATCCATTCTCAGGGCTTAAATATCTCCACTCCACATATGTAGGCTCCAGACTCACATATCTAGGGTCTTGCTTGATGTCTCAAATTGTGATACTCTTTTAAACATGTCAAATTTAACATGTTAAACAGAGTTATTTTGGGCCAGGCATGGTGGCCCATGCCTATAATCCCAGCACTTGAGAGGTAGAGGCAGGCAGATCACAAGGTCAGGAGATCCAGAGCTGACCAACATGGTGAAAACCCATCTCTACTAAAGATACAGTCGTTTTTTTTTTTTTTTTTTCCTCCTCTTAAACAGGTTTATTTTAGCAGCTCAATTTATTACATTCTGCATATTTATCTTTTAATGTGTTTATATTTCTGCCTGTTCTGCATAGATGGCATATTCATTAACTTTTATAGCTGACTTTTTCATTTGCTATTTGCTGCTACCTGGCTTGAAGAAAGACAGGAAGATTAAAAAAAAATTCATTCTGTGGAAACATGGAGCAGCACTTCAGCAGAACTTTACTTCGATGTAGACTTCAGTGTTAGGGTTTCTTCCTCTTTTTCAAATCCTAAACAGACGACAGACCTTCCCTTCAGATACTGAGCACAACACTTACGCAGTTCTTGGACGACAGCCTGACACTTTGATTCCACGTAGTTGTTGGCTTGTAAACATTTCTGTATCTCACAGGCTTGCTTCTGGCATGGATCCTTTGGTGGCATATGCAGAAAATGAATATAATGTTTCTTGGGCTAATTAACCCGCCTTGAGAACAGCGAGGCTAAAATTTCCAGGTCTCCCACCCTGGGCCACTCAAGCCAGGATCACGATACGAGCCCAGGGTGAGCCAAGGGGCATCCCGGGCCGAGGTCACTTAAACCTAAGTTATGAGCTGCGGGCCAGCAACCAGAAGTGGTCCAGGGTGAGTTGAACGAGAGTGGGGGGCTGTTGCAAATAAAACAAAACCTTAACTGTTTTGGGGAGTGACTTTCAAAACAGCATCCCCCTGGCTCAAGAGGCCAGCGTTTGCGGAGGTGTCATCTTTAAGGGCTGTCCCCCAAGCAGCAGGCAGCGCACGGGTCCCCTTGGCGGGCAGGCAAAATGGGTGCCGGCAGTCGTGAGGCACAGGCGCAGGCGCAGGTGCAGACTCCCGGGTGCCGCTCACAGAGTACACCCGCCTACAGCCCCACAGCACCACCTCCCTGCCATCCCCGTCAGCCGGCGGTCGGGTATGGTGGCCTGCGCCTGTATTTCCAGCTACTCTGGAGGCTGAGAGGCAGGAGAATCACTTGAACTCGGGAAGCGGAGGTTGCAGTGAGCCAATGGCACCACTGCACTCCAGCCTGGACGACAGAGTAAGACTCTGTTCCAAGGAAAAAAAAAATGGGGGGGATTTTTTTATTTTCTTCTCCAAAATTCACGGAACCAGTAACAATCTCCTCCACCGCAGTTAACAGCACTACTATCTGCCTATTTGCTCAAGTAAAAAAAAAAAAAGTTATTCTCGATTCCTCCTTTCCATTCACATCCCACATCCAATCCATCAGTTTCCACCTCCAATTTAACTGCAAGATTTACCCACCCCCTGGCCCACCACTGCTACAATCCTTACCCAAGCCACTCTCCTAGTTCATGTGACTACTGCCAGAGCCTCCTACCTCACACCTCCTAGTCCACTCTCTCCTCCCTTCAATCCATTCTCCCTGATCTGGTTTGGCTCTGTGTCCCCACCCAAATCTCACCTCAAATTGTAATCCCCATAATCCCCACGAGTCAATGGCAGGACCAGGTGGAGGTAATGGAATCATGGGGCAGTTTCCCCCATTCTATTCTCTTGAGAGTACTGCTCATCATCTTACAAGATCTGATGGTTTTATAAGGGAAATCTCGCATTTGCCCTGCTTTCACTCACTCTCTCCTGTCACCCTGTGAAGAAGGTACCTACTTCTCCTTCACCTTCTGCCATGATTGTAAGGTTCCTGAGGCCTCCCTAGGAAAGCAAGAAATGTAAGTCAATTAAACCTCTTTCCTTTATAAATTACCCAGTCTCAGGGAGTTCTTTATAGCAGCCTGAGAATACACTAATACACTCCCTGTAGCAGTTAAAGTGATCCTTTTAGAAAGTTAAGCCAGAATAGCTCATCCTGCTTGAAATTCTTCAACAGACTTCCACTTACATAGAATGAAAATCCAGCATCCCTGTTGTGATCTTTACAGCCATAACCTCCCTCATGGCCTGGCCACTGCCCATCTTCTCTGACAGCCTTTTGGATTCCACCATCCTCTCTCCATCCTTCTGTCACACACTTTCTCCACCTCATGTTCAGTACTACTGCACTCTTCTCTAAACCAGTTCCTTATCCTTTTGGTGTCGAACTCCACCATCTCAGAAAGACTTTCTATAATCAAAAAACCTCTCCGTTAATCACTCTCAGCCCCCATTTTTTATTTAATGAACTGATTATACCTTATGTTTTACTTATTTGTGCTCTAGGTTTCTCTCTCCTATATGCTTCTCATTTACTGTGGTACCTAGCATAGCCCTTGGAATACCTGTGGCATGTATAGATTAGAAAATCCTGTGCTATACTTTAGTGGCATGTTATCCATGTCACATACCTAGGAACTTAACTAAGAGTTTTATTCTTTCACATGTTAGATGCTTCTCTTTAAAAGGAATCTAGGCAATATAAGAAAAGAAATCCTTGAACCTAGTCTAGTATTGCAAACAGACAATGCATGAAAACACTAGAAATACCTGATTTCCTATCTTGCAAAATGAGCAGTACAGGCTCATGCATTTTACTTTATTTCAAGCATTAATCTCCCTATTCTCTTTTTACTATTCAAATCCATTTAACATGTACTCTGATCTTCTCTCCTGAGTCCCATATTAAGGCTTCACAATGACACAACACTTTGTCCCCCTCCTGAGAAATTCATAGCATGGTGGAGAGAGCAGCCACACGTATAGACTCAAGAGTACAAGGACTCAAAACAAGTGCTCTAGAAATATGTTTTTCTGGTTTCTAAAGCTGTGGTGTCCAATAGGGTAGCCTCTAGACACATGTGGCTATTTAAATTTAAATTAATTAAAATTTAATTCCTAATCACACTAGCAACATTTCAAGTGCTCAACAGCCACATGTGGTAAGCGGCTTCTGTAATGAACAAGACAGACATAGACCATTTTTGTCATTGTAGAAAGTTCTATCAGACTTCTGTTCAAATGGGCTAAACTTCTACTTAGCCCTGCAGAGGCACTCCAGGTGACATCAGTGACTCTAACCTTGTTTTGGGTGTTTCTTACATATTATTGTATTAGGCCATTCCTGCATTGCTATAAAGAAATACCTGAGGCTTGGTAATTTATAAAGAAAAGAGTTTTACTTGACTCATAGTTCTGCAGGTTGTACAGGAGGTATGTACCATACCTACTCCACTTCTGGGAAGGCCTTAAGAAGCTTCTAATCATGGCAGAAGGTAAAGGGGTAGCAGGCATGTCACACAGCCAGAGCCAAAGTGTATGTGTTGGCCAGGGTGGGGGTAGGGGGAGGCACAGTTTTAAATGATGAGATCTTACAAGAACTCTATCACAAAGACAGCACCAAGCCATAAGGAATCAGACCCATGATCCAAACACCTCCCACCAGGTCCCACATCCAGCACTAGAGATTACAATTCAACATGAGATTTGGGTGGGGGCAAACATCCGATCTTTATCAGTCTGCCCTTAGCCCCTCCCAAATATCATATCCTTTTAAAATTACAAAATGCAATCATGCCTTTCTAATAGTTTCCCAAAGTCTTAATTCATTCCAGCATTAACTCAAAAGTCTAAAGTGCAAAGTCTCATTTGAGACAAGGCAAGTCCCTTCTACCTATAAGCCTGTAAAATCAAAAACAAGTCATTTACTTACAAGATATAATGGGGGTACAGCTGTTAGGTAAATGTTCACATTCCAAGTGGGAGAAATTAGCCCAAACCAAGGGGCTATAGGTCCCAAGCAAGTTTGAAATCCAATCTTAAAGCTCCAAAATAATCTTCCTGACTCCATGTCCCACATCCAAGGTACAAGTGGTGGGCTCCCAATCGCTTAGGAAGCTCTGCCCCTGTGGCTTTGCAGAGTGTACCACCCACAGCTGCTCTCAGGTGCTGGAATTGAGTGTCTGTGGCTTTTCCAGGTGCAAAATGCAAGCTGCTGGTGTATCTACCATCCTTGAATCTGAAGAAAAGTGACCCCCTTCTCACAACTCCACTAGGTAGTGCCCCACTGGGGACTCTGTGTAAAAGGTCCAACTCCACATTTTTCCTTGGCACTACCTTAGCAGAGGCTCTGTGTAAGGATTCTGCCAGCCCCTGCAGCGGTCTTCTACCCAGACAGCCAGGTTTTTCTGTAAATACTCTAAAATCTAGGCGGAGGCTACCAAACCTCAATTCTTGCACTCTGTGCAGCCACTGGCTTAGCACCACATCAAAGTCTCCAAGACTTACAGTTTGCACTCTCTGGAGCTGTGGCCCGAGCCGTACTTGGGCCCCTTTGGGCTGAGGCTGATGCCAGAGTGGCAGGGAAGTAGGGAGCAGTGTCTCAAGGCTGCACAGAGCATCAGGCTCCTGGGCCTGGCCCTCAAAACTATTCTTCCCTCCTAGGCCTCTGATGAGAAGGGCTGCCAAAGGTCTCTGAATGCCTTCATGGTTTTTCCCTCATTGTCTTAGACATTAACTCTTGACTCATTTTTAGTTATGCAAATTTATCTAGCAAGTGGTTGTTCCACAGCCTGCTAGAGTTCCTCTCTGAAAGAAATTTCTTCTACGCCACATGGTCAGTCTGCAAATTTTCCAAACTTTTATGCTCTTCTTCCTGTTTAAATGTAAATTTCTTTGCTCTGGCATTGGAGCATAGGCAATTACAAGAAGCCAGGGCACATCTTGAATGTTTTGCTGCTTAGAAGTTTATTCCACTTTGGTCAAGCACAGTGGCTCACGCCTGTAATCCCAACACTTTGGGAGGCCAGGGCGGACAGATCACAAGGTCAAGAGCTCGAGACCAGCCTGGCCAACATGGTGAAACCGCTTCTCTATTAAAAATACAAAAAATTGGCTAGGCGTGGTGGCAGGCGCCTGTAATCCCAGCTACTCGGGAGGCTGAGACAGGAGAATTGCTTGAACCAGGGAGGTGGAGGTTGCAGTGAGCTGAGGCTACACCACAGCATTCCAGCCTGGAGAACAGAGTGAGACTCCGTTGTTTGTTTGTTTTTTGGGGGAAAAAAAGGAATTTCTTACATCCAATACCCTAAATCACTCTGAAGTTCAACTTTCCACAAATCCCTAGGGTAGGAGCAAAATGTAGCCAAATTCTTTGCTAAGGCGTAACAGGCATGACCTTTGCTCTGGTTCCCAGTAAGTTCCTCATTTGTATCTGAGAACATCTCAGCATGGATTTCACTTTCAATATTACTATCAGCATTTTGGTCACAATCATTTAACCAGTCTGTGGGAAGTTTCAAACTTTCCCTTACATCCTGTATTCTTCTGAGTTCTCCAAGTTCTTCTAACCTCTGCCCGTCACCCACTTCCAAAGTTCCTTCCACATTTTCAAGTATTTTTACAGCAGTGCCCCACTCTTTGTTACCAATTTTCTGAATTAAGCAATTCTTGCATTTCTATAAAGAAATATCTGCATCTCAGTAATTTCTAATGAAAAGAGGTTTAATTGGCTCATGGTTCTGCAGGCTGTACAGGAAGCATGACACCACCATCTGCTTGACTTCTGGGTTGGCCTTAGGAAGTTTCTGAGCATGATGGAAGGTGAATCAGGAACAGGCATCTCACATGGTGAGACCGGGAGCAAGAGAGTGTGGGCAGAGGTGACATACACTTTTAAATGACCAGGTATCATGAGAATTCACTCACTATTGCTAATACAGCACCAAGCTCATAGGGATCTACTCCCATGATCCCAGGAGGCCCCACCCTTAGCACTGGGGATTACAGTTCACCAGGAGATCTGGCCAAAAACAAATATCCAAACTATATCAATTATTAAGAAATTTAATATATAATAGAGGCTGAAATAAACTGTACCTGTTCATTTCAGATCTATACTGCCCGTCTAATAAACGAATTAGAAATCTATCACCAATGTAGTTGATAAAATTGAGTTTTACAAAGTTTTCTGAATCATAAAAATTAAAACTTCCTTCTATTGTCAATGTGATCCCTTCCTTTCTATTAAGGCCTTTCTTTATGTGTAGATATGTAAGGGAATACCAAGATAAACATC